GAGACTGTCTCCACCCTCCAGTGTCATTTATTGTGCATGCTTCGTTCTTTGCCTATTGCTCTGAGCATAACAGCTTTGACTATACAAAGAAAGGACAACACTAATTCCAGCTTCTCTGGTCTGTGTGTAAATGCATTTCTCAGCACTTTTCCCGTGGATTCTGGGTCAATATGTTGAAACTATATCTGCGCTTTGAAGATTATGGTTTTGATGGAAAACTCAACTAAATTGGTGTGTATGCTCTGGTTTCTTGATGGCATGCCTAGTAGGAATCCTATGAATGTTTGTTAAAGTCATTAATTAATTCATTCAATTACTAATTTTTATGTCCAATATATATATAATAAATGCCTAGTCAGTGAGTTGAATTGTTTGATAAATTCCATAGTGACTTACGTTCTTTTCCTTCAAATCATCTAACTATGGGTTTCTTTGTTATTTTCTTTCAGTTTGTTGAATATATATATATATATATATATATATATATATATATATATTTGTCTAATGTGGGCAATTGCTAGTTATATGACCTTTGAATAAATTATTGAACCTCTAGAAATCTATTTTCTCTGTCTAAATACAGGGATAATAATAGTGTCTGTCTCCTGGGTTGTTGTAAAGATTAGATGAAAAATGTACACAGAGCATATATTTCATGCTTACCAATAAATGTTACCAATGCCTCAATATAGTTAGTAATCATTATTATTTTTTCTATAATGTATCAGCCACTGGGCTTTGTTCTTAACAGCAAACAACCTGAGTTAGGTATTTTTTCCACATTTTCAAAACAGAGAAACTGAGTCTCAAAACAAACTGCCACAGGTCACAGAACTACCAAGTTATAGATCTGAGCTATCGTATTCCACAGCTTATGTCTTTACCCTGCACCAAAAAGCCTTTCAGCATCCTGTTTGACATGCAGAAGTGACCTGTTGTTTTTAAGTGTCTGTCGAGTCAGTCCTGGCCCATAACAAGCCCTGTGTAGGGTTCCTGAGGAGTGGCTAGTGAGTTTGTACTGCTGACCTTTCAGATCAAACTGACTTTGCAGTCCAGCACATTAACCCACAGTGCCACACCCACCAGGACCCATAGAACAGAACTTTTGTTGTTGTTGTTAGGTGCTATCGAGTCGATATCGACCCATAGTGACCGTATGAACAATAGAACGAAACAGAGCTTGGTCCTGAGCCAACCTCACTATTGTTGCCACGCTTGAGCCCATTGATGCTGCCACTTGGCTAATCCATCTCACCGGAGGTCTTCCTCTTTTTCTCTGACCCTCCACCTTACCAAACATGATATCCTTCTCCAGTGACTGGTCCCTCCTGACAATATGTCTGAAGTATGAGAGACAAAGCTTGGCCATCTTGGCCTCCAAGGAACAGAACTAGGAGTCACTTTATGTTGTTGTTGTTAAGTGCTCTGGAGTCAGTTCTGACTCATAGCAACCCTGCACAGAGTTTCCAAGGGGCAGCTGGTGGGTTTGAACCGCCAACCCTTTGGTTCAAACCAACCTACGGGCCAGTTGTTTATTCCACAATGCCTCACTAGGACTCCTAGGAGTCACTTTATAGTGATTGAAATAAATTAATACTGTTATCACTTTCTTCTTCTTTTTAATAGGTAGGATGTCCTGAGGAAGTTCTGCCCTGTTTGGGAAACTCCAATTACAAAGACCAGGTTAATAAATATTTTGTTCTAGAGCCACAGAATTTTTGGGTTTAGAAGGATTTTAGGTAGTGTCTTGCCCAGTCATTTGTTGAATTATTTCTCTAATCATCTAACTGAGGTTATATTGGTTTCATTTTGAACACTTCCACAAAAGTTATTATCTCTCACTCAACTCACTCTACCGTCTACAGCTCTAACTACAAGACAGCCTAAAATTTAGTGACTAGACCAATTCACAAATAGGGGATTCCCTAATTGACATGGCACATGGTACTACCATCCTCCCAGTTGTTAAAGCTAGAAACCTACAAGTTCTTTTTACCACTCACATCCAATATCCATTAGCAAGTCTTTTCAGTTACCTTCATATAAAACATACCTCCATTACCACCATCCTGGTCCAAGCCACCATATCTTCCCCTGATTCCTTACTGGGTTTACTGCTTCTCCTTTTGCCCCTTCTTTATGCTCCCTCCTCCACACAGCAACCAGAATTCTCTTTTTTTAAAGCACAAATTACATCTTGTCACTCTCCTGATTAAAATACTGCTTTCATTCCCCACTGCCCTTTGGGCAAAATCTGAACTCCCTTCTGTGATCCATGAGGCCCTCAAAAACAAAAACCGTTGCCCTCAAGTTAATTGTGACACATAGTAGGACAGAACTGCCCTGAAGGGTGTCCAGGGCTGTCAGCTTTATGGAGGCAGACTGCCACTTCTTTCTCCTATGGAGCATAACTGGTAGGTTCGAATCACCAGCCTTTTGGTTAGCAGCCAGTGCGTAACTGCAGGGCTCCTCCCACAGACCCTACCTCATCTTGAAACAGCCTTCTTTCTCCTTTGCTCACTAAGTATTGATCCCTGGTCTCCTGTATGCTTTTCAGACCTCCTGAGCCTTTTTCTGCTGCTGGACCTTTGCACTTGTTCCTCTTTCTTATGCTCTTCTTTTTCCTAGCTTTGCAAAATGACTCTAACATATTCTGTCTCATCTTTCAGGCCTTAGCTGAAATGTGACTTTCTCAGAAAGATCTTTCCTGGCCACTTATCTAAGGTGACAGACTCTAGCCTCATTATCCTGTAATTATCTTTCAGATCTGCTTTGTCTTCTCATGAAGACACAAGTTCTTTGCTGACTGGACCTAAGCTTGTACATTAACAGCTGTATTATCTCTAGAGAAGTGGCATAGTAGCTGGCCTATAGAAGGGGTTCAAGAAATATCTCAGGAATAAGTGAATGGACTCATATTGATTGGATGAAAGGACTGTGGTGTCATTAAAGTGGATTCGAATTTGAACTTTTCCACTTACTCTGTGACTTTGGACAAATTATATTACCTCTGGACTTCAGTTGCCTCATCCTATTGGTCCTGTCTATCTCACAAACTGTTGTAATGGTTAAGATTTTGACAGTGCCTGTGCCTGGCAAAGAGTAGGTGTGCAGCCTGGTTCTTAATGCTGAACATGGGATTTATATCAAGTTTCAGCCAGATTCATGGAAATGTGTGTGGTATGCATGTGTGTTTGTGATCTGTAAGCCTAGGTGTGAGACGCTTGTGACTCCCCTCCAGCAACCCTTGCTGAATGTATGCTGGCCTGACAGGAAGGAGAGTTCTAACAGAGGGTACCAGCTGTTGCACTGAGTGACACTCAGCCTGATAAATCGTTAGGTGCTGAGCCCAGAGCCTTCACTGGGGTGCTGAACAGAGTCCCCAGTGATGAAGTCTGACAGGGTGCATCTTTCTTTGAGATGGATTGGGATACCTTGTCTAGACAGTTGTCTCCCTTGGGAAATCACAGTTGCTCTAAGAGAAGGCACGTGGTCTCCTCCGAAGAATACAAAGTAGGCCGATGAGCTGTTGAGGGGGCTGCTGTGAGGTAGTGTGGAACTGTGGAGCAGAGCTTTCAGAAAGGAACCGTCTGCTTCTATACTCATAAGGAGTGTCTAGGTCATGGTGGTAGTCTTCTCTGTCTCATATGCAGTGTCAACAGAGCCTATAGGATACCGGAAGGTGCATACTGAATCAGTGCTTCTGTTCCCCTATTGAGAAGTGCTGGGAGTTGCTGCTAGAACATGGCTTACTGACTGGGAAGGAAAGCACAGGACTCGATGCAGCTCGCTTGCTTGGCTTAATGATTTAGTTCACTTCCCTCTGTAGGCTGTTGTTGTGGTTGGCAAGTGCTGTTGAGTGGGTTCTGACTTATAACAACCCTACATAAGAGTTCCAAGGAGCGGCTAGTGGATTTGGATTGCCAACCTTGTGATTAGAAGTCTGTGTTGGCTATTAGGGTGAGTGTTTTAAGGTGGAAACTGTCAATAGATCCGCATTCAAATCCTGGTGATGCTATGACATTGGGCAAGTTACTGAACCTCCAAGCTTTAGTTTGTCCTTCTTAAAATGAAGAGACTAATAACCCTTATTTTTATCTGGTTGCTCTGAGGAATAGAGGATAGAATGCATGCAAAAATCTTAGGTCAGGGTCAGGCACACATGGTCAGTAAATGATAATTCTTACTAAGTAGAATAGGTCAGGATTTTGAATTTGTTATTTCTGATGAGCCTCACCTCTATTGAACTTTGAGTCTTGCTTCCTCCATTGCCAGCTGTGTGTCTTGGGCGAGTTATTTAACTTTTCTGTGTCAGTACCATTATCTGTTATGTGCCATTCATAATACTTCATAATGTTGTTATTGTTTAAGTGCCATTGACTCGATTCCAACTCACAGTGACCCTGTATAGGGTTTCCAAGGAGCAGCTAGGTGTTCCTAACTGCTGACCTTGCAGTTAGCAGCCCAGAGCTTATCCTACAGCTGTAGTTGTTGTTAGGTGCTCTTGAGTCGTTCCAAGTCATAGTGAACCTGTATAGGGTTTCCGAAGAGTGGCTAGTGAGTTTGAACTGCTGACCTTGTGAATTAAACTGACCTTGTGGTCAAGTGCTTATCCTGCAGCACCACACCAGGACTCTACAGCCATAGTGGTGGTGGTGTGCCATGGAGTCGGTTACAATTCATAGCAGCCCTGCATAGGGTTTCTGAGGCTGTAAATCTTTACCAGAGCAGAAAGCCTCATCTTTTTCCTATGGAATGGCTGGTAGTTTCAAACTGCTGACCTTGAGGTTAGCAGTCCGACCCGTCACCCCATGCTACCAGAGTGCCTGATCCATAGTAAGGCAAATGTATTAGTTTTCTCCCCCATTTGTTCTGGAGTGTCTAAATACTGTCCCTTTAAGCTTGTTAAGATTCCTCACTAGCCTTGTATGCAGCTGTGTGCAGACAGTTTTTGGCAGAAGGAATGAGGCTTGAAAAAAAATTTTTTTTATGACTGTTTCATAATCTGTTGGCTCAGATCTGCTGCTGCCACGCCCGTGCTTCTCGGGATCTCTGAGTTCTGTTGCAGTTACCCTGTGCCTTTTCCCTTTCACCTAAATGACCCTGAAATGTGGCTGCTTTGAAAGGCTTTGCTGAATGCAAAATGGATTTTCCTCCCAGCTCTTTGGGTAGAAGCTAGCTCAGGGATTCTTAACTGCAGTGGGGAGGGTTGCCAGGTCTGGGCTGTGATTGGATTTTGCGGCCAGGGGTTTTCTGGTTTTCATTAAAATTCCCTGGCTGTCTTCCGGGTTTGCTCCACTGGATATGATTGTGCCCTGGGGCTGGTTGTGCTGTGTTCTCTCAGCTACACACACCTATGAAATTACAGTGACACTGAGATCCAGAGAAAATAGACGGTGGGAAAACAGCCTGGCTAAGAGGACTTTGTGATAAAGAGACCCCCATCCACAACTGCGGAGCTTGAGTTTTATAAAGTCTTAGATACAGACAGTGAGGCAGACATAGCTGAACTAGGAACATGTAGCAGAGACAGTCTTGCTACAGCTTGCCTTTGAAGACAGGTTTACTCTTCAGGGCAGATAGAGGTTTCCTGTCAACTGTCAGAGGGTCCCCAGGTTTCACTTCAAGGAAATCACCCTGTCTGATCCTTTCTCCACAGTGTTGATACCACTAGAGCCCCAGAGGCATCTGGGTTGAAGTGGCAGCTCTAGGAGGATGATAGACTGAGTTAGAGTACAATCTTAATTTCATGTGAGATTGCAACTAGAGTCTGAAAACCTTGTTGCAAACAGACTGTGCTGTTGTTGACTTGCTTTGTCACTTTGGGCAAGTTACTTCCGTGGGTTTCAGCTTCATAGTGTGGTTGTAAGGATTAAATGAGATAGATTATGTAACGTTCTTGGCATACTATAAGTTCTTAACAAGTGGTAGCTGTTATTATACATTGGGCTGGATTTGACTTGTCAGTCTAGTTTACCAAATGTCATCTATAACATTTGCTCAGCATCCGTCTCAGTTTTGTGTCACTGAAGAATTTAAGTCAAACATGTTCCCTAGGGCAAGGTAGAACTCCTATCTGGAAAAATACATGAGAACTATATTATTATGTTTCCCAGTGAAAGGTTTAAGATGCTAGGTATTTCATCTGGTAACTTAGTAGAAGAAAAGAATCTTTACCTCTCATTCTTGATGGATAGATTGTGAAGAGGCAACTTTAACTGATCTTAGGTACAGATGTCCCCTGTTGTTATCCCTAAGAAAGCACTACTGAGGGCTCACATTTGCCTTTAGAATAACCTCCATTTCCAGTGTTTCCTCCTCTCATTCTCCAAATACTATATTCTAACCACAGTGGACTGCTCATTTAAAAAAATCAGTTAATATAAAACATGTCACACACAACAAAGAGTATTTTAAATATATATTTACAGTTTAAAGAACAAAAGTAAAATGAAATATGTATATGCACCATCTAGTTCATCGTCCAGCACTCTTGGTACCTTAGAAGCTTCTTATGAATCCCTTCCCAATTAGATTTCCCTCCCTTCTCATCAGCAATAATGATTCTCCTGACTTTTATGCAGATCATTCCCTTGCTTTTCTTGATGCTTTTAATCAGCAAGATATGTATTTCTAAACTACATATTGTTCAGTTTTTAAAAATAAAGCAGCAAGCACATAAGCCTAGTAAGCAGAATAAGAAAAAGGGAAACATTGCTCCTACTAGATCTAAGCATAATTTGATAAGGACTTTGGATCATAGTCTGACTTTAGCTTTCCTGTTGTTGTTGTTAAGTGTCATTGAATCAACTCTGACTCATAGTTACCTTAAATAGGGTTTCCGAGGAGCAGCTGGTGAGCTTGAACCGCCAACCTTGCAGTTCAAATGGCTTTGCAGTCTGACGCATTAACCCACAACGCCACATCAGGAATCCTTTCCTGAGGGATACAAAAAGCCCTATGGTGTCGAAGTCATTGGGCAAGGTTATAAATGAACCCTAGGAAATAAAAGACCCATAACTATTGGGATATCTGACAGTGCTGTTGTGTGAGCCTGATACTGGACTTATGGTAGAAATATGGTCCCAGAAAGTGGACTGTTGTGTCTTTTGTACTGTTATTTTGTCTGTGACCTATCTAGCTCTCTGGAAATAATGAAGCAAGTCAAAGCAAAATTGTTTTGTTGGACGAAGTGAATGCTATCAGTGAACCTAGGCAGATAGAATGGGAGGGTATGAACAGATACTGTATCAGCACATGATCAAAACAAAGAGTCAGAAAATAATGTGGACCAGACTTACTTATGCATTCATTGTCAGGTTAAAAAGAAAGTATATGGTAACCCTTTGGAATTTCAAGTTGGCCCCAAATTGAATCAACCCTCTAGAATTACCTTTGATTTATTAGAAAAATAGGAGAAAGGATGACAAGTTAAATAAAACCCTAAGGAAGCAAACAGATGAATTTTAAAATACTTAAAGGGAAAATTGGAGAGAAAAGGAGAGGATTATATTACATGTGAAAGTCTTGATAATGTTGGATCTGGGTGATGAGTATGGGGGTTTTCATTTGACTGCTGTACCTTTGAAAATTTTATAAACATGTTTAAAGTATTTTGAACAGTAATACTAAAGTGAGTTTAATGACAGAGGGGATGTTAGTGGTGATCATCTTCTACATGTTTGTCTCTGAGTAATACTTCTTCATTCTAATGGGCTTCTAAGAAGTTGGGTATCATCATGGGATCTTCTGTTTCTAGCCTTTGTACCAGATTCTCTGTTTCTTGTATACTACTTGGTGACGGGGATACCCTCTAGAACCTTCTTTAAAAAAGATTAATGAGTTGTGAATGTCTGTGATCTTGTTATTGTTAAGTGCCGTTGAGTCTGTTCCAACTTGTAATGATCCTATGTAGGGTTTTTGAGGAGCAACTAGTAGGTTTGAATCATTGACCTTGAGGCTAGCAGTCCAGAGCTTATCCTATAGTGCCACACCAAGAATGCCACTCTGTGATCTTATATACTTGAAAATATCTTTTTTCTCTTTTCATGCTTGACTGATAATTTGGCTAGGTATTGAATTCTAAATGACAAATCTTTTCTTCAGAATTTTAAAAGTATTGTTCCATTGACATCTCTTTCTTGGAAATTTCTCTTTAGATCTTGGGACTGCTATGTTGATTTTTCCTCTAGAATATTCTTTATTCTATTTTCTTTCTTTTCATTTCTATATCTTGACCTTCCTGTTTTACTCTCTAGAGTTTCTCAACTTTATCTTGCAATCCTATCAGTGAGTTTTAAATTTCTATTATAGTGTGAAGTTCTGAGTGCCTTTGTTCTCTGTTGTTGTTAAGTACTGTCAAGTCGGTTCTTACTCATAGCAGCCGTATAAGGGTTTATGAGGAGCGACTAGTGGATTTGAACCACCAACCTTGTGGTTAGCAGTCTACTGCTTATCCTACAGCGTCACTTTTATAGTATACTATTTTTGTGTCATAGATGCAGCTTTATCTGTTTTTCTAATGATATTAATGGCATTCCTTCCTGCATAGTATCTGTTTCCTTCAAGTTGCCTGTGGTCTGTATTTTCACTAGAGGTTTTCCTAAGATGTCATTCTGAATGTGATCCTTGCTGTGTTGCTCCTAATTACAAGCTGGGAATTAAAAGTGGGAACTTTTATGGTTATGTGAAAAAAGCCAGTAACAAAAGACCAAAATGCATGGTTCCATTCATATGAATATTAAAAATAAGTAAATCTATAGATAAAGAGTAGATTATAATCACCTGGGGTTGAAGAGAGGGGAGAATGTGGAGTGACCGCTAATAGCTAGATCTTGGATTTATTTTTGTGGTGACAAAATTTTTCTAAAATTAGATTGTGGTGATGATTGTGTAAGTCTAAGAAGATATGACAAACAATTGAATTATGCACTTTAAGTGTATAAATTTTATAGTATATGAAATATCTATTAGTAAGTTGTTTATAAAATTTTGCTGAAGATCATTCAAAAATGTTTGCAGGAGCATATCCACAAGGAACTGCTGAAAATTTAAGCCAAATTCAGAAGAGGACACAGGACAAGGGATAGCTTTGCTGATAGCAGATGGATCTTGGCTGAAAGCATAGAATACCAGAAATATTGGCCTTACTGTGTGGATCATAACAAGCTATGGGTAACACTGAGAAGAATGGGAATCCCAGATCACTTCATTGTGCTCATTCAGAACTTGTACATAGACCAAGATCCAACTGTTTAGACTGAGCGGGGAATATTTCATGGTTTCAAATCAGGAAAGGTGTGCATCAGGGTTGTATCCTTTCCCATCCCTATTCAGTCTTTATGCTGAGCAAATAGTCCAAGAAGCTGTACTTTATAGAGAAGAATTGTTGTTAAGTGTTGTTGAGTAGGTTCCGACTCATAGTGACCCTGTATAGAGTTTTTGCAGAGTGGCTGGTGGGTTTGAACCACCGACTGGTTAGTAGTCCAGTGCTTGTCCTACAGTGCCACACCAGAAGAATGCTGCATCACAATTGGAGGAGGACTCATTAATAACCTGCTTTGTGTAGATGACACAACCTTGTTTACTGAAAGTAACGAAGACTTGAAACATTTACTACTAAAGGTCAAAGATGACAGCTTTCAGTATGGATGGCACCTTAACAAAAAGAAAAACAGTCATTTTCACAACTGTACCAATAAGTTGGTACATTATGATGAATGAGAAAAAGATTGAAGTTGTCAAGGGTTTCATTTTACTTGGATCTACAATTAATGCCCATAGGAGTTATTGTTGTTGTTATTAAGTGCCGTCAAGTTGGTTCCAACTCATAGCAATCCTGTATAGGGTTTCCAAGGAGCGGCTGCTAAGTTTGAACTGCCAGCCTTGTGATTCAAACCAACCTTGCGGTCTAGTGCTTTATTGTTCAGTGCCATCCCATGGAAGTAGTAGTGAGAAAATCAAACAATGTATTACATTGGGCAAATCTACTGTACATAAGCTCTTTAAAGTGATAAAAAATACAAAGCTGTCACTTTGAGGACTAAAGTACACCTGACCCAAAACATGGTATTTTCACTTGCCTCGTATGTATAGGGTCGCTATGGGTCAGAACCGACTCGACGGCACTTAACAACAACAACAACAACGTATGTATAGGAAAGCTGGGCAATGAATAAGGTAGACCCAACAACAACAGATGCCTTTGAATTATGGTATTAGTGGAGAATATTAAATATGCCATGGACTTCCAGAAGAATGAATAAAGATGTGTTGCAAAAAGTACAGCCAGAATGTTCTTTGAAGCAATAATGGTAAGATTTCATCTCATGTACTTTAGATATCAAGACTCATATACTTCAGTTAGCAAGAGGAACCAGTCCCTGGAGAAGGACAT